GGGTTGAATGTTTTACGGGCGCTCGCAACTGCATATGGTCATATAAACGCTCAGGGCACATTAAACTTTTAAAGCTTGGTAGGAATTAGTTTTGAATTTTGCTGGGTGGCGGCCGAAGCCTACTCTTATTGATTTGGACCACCAATGGGTCTTTTAGTGCGCAACTTGAAAACGGGACCTTCGTGACTTTTTGCCCTTATCTGAGAAGGCTAGGTGCTAGATCTTATCTACCCCACGATCAGGAGTGTGACTGAACGACAGCAGTAAGAAGAAGGAGGCAAGGAGTAGCAATAGAAAGGCTGCAGAAAGAGTCAGGAGCCCAGAGGCAGGAGCAAAGGAGGTGAGGGGGTAGGGATAGATAGCGGAGACGAAAGCAGATGACAGAACATTGTTAGAGAATAGGAAAAGAGGTGAAAGGAGACAATTTTAGAGAAGAAAATGTTCCATCGTCGTCCAGATTCGAACCCTGGACTTATTGAATGAGAGGCAAACACCGTAATCTCTCGACCATGAGAGCCCCCTGGTTTGAGACTTTTTAACACATTGAGGAGGCTCATCATGGCCATTCGACATTGCTCGAAGACGCGCTGTTTTTGGGGCACTAGAAAAAAATAAAATAAATAGCATTTGTATAGCACATATCCCCGCTCAACAGCGGGCTCTATGCGCTTTACACTATATTATTACCTCAGCAGACCATAGAACACCCCGAAACATTCTCAGCTTCCCGGGAAGCATACAGTGCAAGCAGCTGATTAAGGGCTCAAACACTAACAAACTGACAAGATCTTTCGCTGTCTATAGCCGGGTACCCATTCCCACCTGGGTGAAGTGAGGAAAATTTGTGCAAGGTGCCTTTCCCAAGGACACAACGTCGGGCCCCTGACGGGATTCGAACCCACGACCGTACGGTTGCGAGTCCGAGAGCCTAATCACTAGGCCACCGAAGCAAAAAAAAAAAAGAAACATAACTTCTTTATTCATACAGATTTTGCAATTAGATCTATGGTGTCCTGTCTATCTGAAATATAAAAGAAGGAGGGGACAACATGCGTGCTGCAAACTAAGTAAACTCGTAATTCTAATTTATGTATGATGAGTTCAAAATCTTTTGTCTGTTGTTGATTGGGCAGCGTGGTGAATCCGGGCGCTCGTCAAAATAATGAAACTGAAGAAACTGGCATTTTTCTGCCAGTTTGATCATTTTTATCGAATTTTTCCTTTTTGATTTAACACCTTTCTGGGCGGGTTTTACTGCAAATCGTTGATCAAAGGCAGAAAATGTAAGTTTTCTGTTTCCACATACTATCTAAGGAAATAACCAAACTTTGGAGGCCATTCTCTTGCCAATTTTACCTTCGAAACCAGGCGACCCCACCTTCTTCAATCTCAAATATCTTGGCCTCTATTCAAGATAGATGGGCATTTTTCCCCATATAGCAAGACAATTGAACTAGTTTTAAGATGGTACCAATAACTCCACTTGCCCAAGAATTGATGAGCGCCTGATTCCACCATGACGTGACAGGATAATATATACCCGTGAGCACCACTAGCTCAGTTGGCATAATGTTGGACTACGCACGGGCCGGATGGCCCTGGTTCCAATTCCCAACAGGGTGTTCTTAGCTTGCGTTTTTTTTG